GAGTTCAACATTTACAGCCAACATCAGCTGGAAAATTGTTAATAAATAAGCAAGAAAATGCTACCGTATCTGGATCAGGCACAGATGGCATTTTTGCTTCCTGATGGACAGACCCTTCTTCTTCTTTCTGCAAAATAAATCTAACCAATCTTAAAACCAACGTGCAACATTGCAGCAGTTCAACCGTAGCTACCACTTTAGCATACATTCAAGATAAGCAAATTTACAATATTTATTAGGACACAAGATTTATTATACAACATCATTCAGCAGGCATATCGACTCCCTGGATACCATTATTAAGGCATGGTTCTTAAGACCTTTTGCAATCTGATAAACAAATCTTGATAAAGACTTGACCTCCTAGCCACTTTGATATGCAAAATATAATGACAAGCAAAGAAAGTACTATTCAAAAGATTTTTATCCGATCATTTGTTCGACCAAAAAAAAAATTCTGATCATTTGTAAACTGACTAAATAAACACATACTTTAAATGAAGCCAGTATCGTGAAAATGTTAATCCCTTTTTGTATTGCGTCCACTCTTCGAGTAGCAAAGCTCTTCCCATCACGTACTCGGTGAACTTGATATATAATTGGTGCTGCAAAAGCAATATTACAGACATAAGGTTTCTAAATATATTTATATCTCCTCCACATTTAAGATTCTCATCCTCATATATTAGGCTCATATACTTACTGTTAAAATCCCCAACAAGCAGAAAATGCGCATGCAAACTATGGACAAGTTTAAGACAATCAACAGTTTTCGTTGCTGCAGCCAATGCCTGCATTTTATAGGATATATTAGAGACAAGTATGCTATGGAACTGCTTCTAAATAAATTCCCAGCCATGATACAACTTTTGTGCCTGAATGAACTCAAAACTATATGGATAAAAGAACAATCATTTCGAGTTGCAGATATTATTATGAAGCTGAAGGAAATTAGAGAAAAAGCAAATATGGCCATTCACTTAAGAAAAAAGAACATTGCATTTACAGTGTTTATAACAAATCTTGCATTATTTAAAAAATCAAGTTGAATTAAGTAGAAACTGGGTGTGTAAACATATCAATATTTTCATGAGCACATTTGAATTATTTTATAAAAAATCAAGTTGAAATCTCAATAAAAAATTATTGTACAACTGAAAATTAATATTTGAACAAACATAAATCACTGTAGAAGATTGTTAAGTAAATATAAGCAATCAATTTCAAACAAGTGCGGAGATAAACTTTGTCCACTTAGAAAGGATGTACTCTTTTGTGCTTTCCTTTCTTTTTTTTCTTTTTTCTTTTTTTGGGCAGAACTAGGAGGATCATGCATGCAAGTTTAAGTTCTACAGTTCATCACACTATTTCAATATCGTTTATATCTACTATACATTCATCGAGAAACATCCAGTAGAAAAATATTAAGGAGGAAGAGAAAAAGTTACATAATCATGCCTGTCCAACTAACTGTCCTCCAAAAACCTGTCCGAATCTTGGTGCATCTGGCAAAGTAATCCCCTTAAATATGTTTACCTTTGAAAACAAAAGGAGAACAGAATCTTATCAATCAAAATATAAAAGAAAATCACACAAGGATGCCACTGTCAACAGGCACCATGAAACGATTATTAAGTAGTCTATATTTCTAAGCAGAAAGAATCAAAGTTCCGAATCAATTTACATATGGCATATCCAGAAGAGAAATAGTGGACTTAGACATGCAGAAAAAACTACAATCGCTGAAGTCAGATAGCACTGTACAATTGGCACTATAAGCATCACATCATAACTAAACAATCAATATATCAAATCTCCTAGACAGCAGTATAGCACTGAACTGAAAATATAAAAGATAATAAGAGTATTCTCTTAAAAACTTCAAAGAAACATACTTCAATTGGTTCCAAATGCAATATATTCTCAACAAGAGAGCATGTATCATGAGCTTTGTCAGCATTCCAGATTGATTTTGGCCGTAGAAGAGTACAGTGTTCATGGGGCAGCACCAAGCATGTCAACTGCCATAAGTAACAACACATCAGAAAGCCACTATTAGCATACATACAACAACATTTAAAGGAAAACCTTGTGAGCTTGAGCAACCAAAAAGATGTAATTGCCACAGAAAAACAAGGCAATAGTCCCTACAAGTGCCGCCCAATCTACTATTCAATCCCAGCCTGGTAGATTTCCATCTCCAAGCACCCAAAGCTTAATAAAAATAAATAAAAGAAATAAAAAAGCTAAACTAATATATATACATTTCAACTACCTTAGATAAAGCAATCACATCAGCCTGATGTTCCAATGCTGCAAAACCTGCAAAATTACCTTCGAATTATACTTACTTGATAATTGATGGTGACAATTACAATCCCAGCTAGATTATTGCAAATCATTGGCCAAACGTCCTAAGTACAAGATACATAATCTATATCCTCAACCAAACTAAGACTTCATCTCAAGAAAATGGGGACAACTACATGTGTCTGGTTTCATGACAACATGACACCTAAACTTAAGAAATGCATCAAGGCAACAACTCCATATACCCTCTGACAATCTCAAATCAAGAAATCCCTGCAGGCCAGGGACTGTTCCAAGAAACTCAAATCTTATATGGATAAAAATTGTTGACGCATTCTCATGTAAGCATCAGAAAGTAACCCAATTTCTTACATTCAAAGAAAAAGGTTCTCAGTTCTCACCATAACCAAAATAATCGTATCGTTTCAATTTGAACTCAGGTCGATTGCCTTCATCAGCATTAACAGAACCAGTAACTTCAGCCTGTGTAAGAAAACCACAATATAAGCTCACTCTAAGATCCAATATAAGTAACTAATAAGTAATGACACAATCAAACTAACCTCTCCATCCCATATGAAGTAAACCCCATCTCCGGTTTCACCTTCACGAACAACATACTCTCCACTATCTGCACAAAGAAACACGCTCAAAATCTTCAATACCATTACAAAAACTATACAAACAAGTGAATTCACAATTACCCAATATTACATATGTATATGTGCACATAAAGTATAAACTTTTATCGATAGTAACCAAGCTTAAATTCAGCAGAAGAAGCAATTAGATAAAAGAATTGACCGTAGTGCTTCAAAATGACGAGCTGGGCGACTTTCTTGAGAGAAGAGCTGGGAAGCCTCTGAAGCAGAGGAACGCAGCCCAGGAACTCAATCACTGCAAAATGCAAATGAAACAGACAAACGAACACAGAGAAGCAAGCTCAGAGATTAAACAGAGAATTGAAATTAGGGTTTGAATTTTGGTCTTTCGCGACAGACCTGATTCGGAATCCATGGTGCTTGCAATGGTTTCAACTGAAAATGAGAGAGAGAGAGAGAGAGAGAGAGAGAGAGAGAGAGGCCTATACTATACGGTTGAATTGATGTTTTTGGATCTGGTGCGTCGCGGTGTATGGTAAAAGTTTGGACTTGACGTACCTTGGCCAACGAACTGTTGGGCAGAAAAACGAGCGTGCTTAATTACGCGGAAGAGAAAGATTAGCGCTTCCAGAAAACAGACTGATCCGTATTCCGTTTTGCTATTTTCGAGGCTGACATAAGTATCAGTGATGATGAGTTTCTATAATTTACACAATCTCAATTTCAGTAATGTTTTTTTTTTTGGTAAAAAATTTCAGTAATATGTTCATCATATAAATTACTTTTTCTTATATTTGCATAATAAAAATTTATTTTATTTATAATAAGCAAGTAATGAGTGTGAGAAAAGTATAAATAAATTACTAGGAAACTATTATTGACTCCAAAAAAAAATTAATTTAAAACATTCACACGACAAGTTTTTTTAAAGTGACAATAATCATGTTTTATACCTTGTAGTTTAAAAAATAGAATTTTTTTAAAAAGAAATCATTATATCGATTTAAATTCACCTTACCAACTAGAAATTAATCTAATAATATTTCTTCTTAATTGAATCCCTCTTCTCAACAATAACATTTTGTCCAAAATCAAAATTTATTTTCTCCATTCAAATGCAACGAGTTTTTGTATACATTTTACAACTATTATAAATCTATCAATAATGCATATATGAATTCAATTAAGTAGGTTAGAGTGAATGTGCTCCTCACTTTACACCCGAGTTCTAATTGTATTCAAAACAAAATATCTATCAATAACAAGAGATTTTTCTTTGTTTTTGGTCAAAACCCTTACTTGCTTTGAGGCCCAAAATAAATATATAAAAAACTCACAAATTTTTTATTTAAATGGTTGCAAATTATTGCAATTTTTATGACGTTGAAGTTTTGTTTTGACTCGCTGCTCTTAGAGCATCTCCAACCGATGTGTCAAAAGTGCCACATGGACATCTAACGGCTAGAAATAACATTTCACATCACTCCAACCGATGTGTCAATGCTGATGTGGAATGAAGGCTGGAGGTTGAGATGTTATTTTTGACATCCCAAAAGCAAGATGTCAAATGAATATTTTATTATTTTTAAAAGATAATTGGCTATTACTTTCATTTTTTATTTTCCTTTTTTTATTTTTTTTCTTCTTTATCTTTAATGATTTGACTGTTATAATAATTATTTATTTGACATATCGGGTGGAGTGTAAAACTATGTAAATGTCAAATTGCCACATCAGCCGTCAAATTTAAATTTGATGTTTGGTATTTGACATCTCCCTTGGAGATGCTCTTAAGTTCAGAAGGGAAGTGTCCAAATCAGAACAAAGCCCATGTTCTGATTATGTTGGGCCAAGCAATGTATAAATGGACTCTCACCCAACCACTTAACTGGCATTGAATTTCAAGGCTCAAAGCCTAATCAGCCAATGCCCAATCATCTTTTAGAATAAAATTAAGAACATAAAACCAAATGAAGAAACAATGATTAAAGATCGTACAAAACCTTGTGGAATAAAAGCATTTTAGTGAGTAGATTCTTGAAGCAACCCAAAAAGATATGAGTTTGACTTGCAGGTAAGACCTCAGCACAAATTTAGTGAGCAGATCTCTTTCTTCTCTTTGGGTCTTTCTATTAAATTTATACAGATAGATGCATGTATATATGTCATATACTTTCTCATGGAACAACAATCCAAAGTTAGCACAGAACAGAAGACTCGAACTTCACCTCTCCCAAGCCCCCACTAAACCCCTCTTGTTTATAGGAAACCCCATTTTCTTTCCATAAACATATTTTCAGAGCCTGGGTTTTAGCTAATTAATGATCTTTATGGTGGTGGTTCATTCTCAACCTTTCCCTGTTCCAAATTTTCAGAATCTGGGTTTTGTTCAGTTACAACTTTTGACTCATGGGATTTGATCCATATTGGTCTGAGACTGCTGTTCTTTAGCTGCAACTCCCTTCTGTGCAAAGTTACAGATTCTGCAAATGTTTCTGCTTAGATGCAAGCCCAGGGCACTTTGAGCTTTGATACATGTAATATCTCTGATATTTGATTCTTCCATATAGTGCCTGTTTAGCTGTTGGTATTCTAATGAAGAATGTTTCTTTGATATATAGAGATAATCTGTTTGAAAACCTTGAACTATAGATCTCTATCTTAGTTCCTAGTTTTGTTTGTTTAGTTGATATCTAAAGCTATTTCTGTTAATCTGCTCTGCAATTCAACTAGATTCTAGAATTTCACCCAAATATAGTGTTCAACGCCTATTTTCCATTTATAATTCAATTTAATCCATTCCCAAATGTGTATCTATTGAGCTGGGCGGAAGGCCCAAAATAATTGTTTGCTTTGTTTTTCTTTGATTTCACATCAAGTTTTTGATATGTGTTGACATGCTTTGCTTCATAGGCGTCCATGTCAATCTGCTGTGGGATTCCTATCCTTGAGTCTGTATACTGTCTGGCCTGTGCTCGTTGGGTGTGGCTGAAATGCCTCTACACTGCAGGCCGTGAAAGTGAAAACTGGGGTCTGGCCACTGCTGAAGAATTTGAGCCTGTCCCTCGGTTTTGTCGCCTAATTCTAGCACTCTATGAGGAAGATCTCCGTAACCCGCTTTGGGCACCCCTCGGAGGTTATGGCATTAATCCTGATTGGGTAATCTTACGTAAAGACTACGAAGAAACCTTTGGCCATGTTCCTCCCTACATGGTCTATCTTGATCATGATCATTCTGATATAGTCTTGGTAGTTCGGGGACTCAATTTAGCTAAGGAAAGTGATTATGCAGTTATGCTTGACAACAAACTTGGGCAGACAAAATTTGATGGTGGCTATGTCCACAATGGGCTATTGAAGGCAGCAGAGTGGATGTTTGATGCAGAGTGTGAAGTTTTGAGGGAATTGGTGATGAAGTATCCAAATTATACCCTGACCTTTACTGGCCATTCCCTTGGGGCTGGTGTGGTGGCATTGCTGACATTGTTGGTACTTCAGGATCTGAAAAAATTGGGAAATATTGAGAGAAAGAAGATTAGATGCTATGCTACAGCCCCCTCTAGATGCATGTCACTGAATCTGGCTGTCAGATATGCAGATGTTATCAATTCTATTGTACTTCAGGTATGATTATCGCATTTGATTCTAAACTTGTGTGCTTTGTTCCACGTATATTGGCGAATGCTAACACGATTTAATTTATCAATATAATGTAGTGAAACATGAATGGTTAAGAAAAGAAAACCTTCATGGACTGTACATCTAATACGTTGGATAGGCAAAATTGCCACCAATTAGTAAATAAGGCTGGCCACATAAAATGAGTCAATGTTCTTCACCAGGCAGGAAATAATATATGCTTTTTGCTCATGGATATGACTAGGTCCTCAATGTTCTAATGTAGTTGCTATAATGAACCAGGATGATTTCTTACCTCGGACAACAACCGCTTTAGACAACTTATTCAAATCACTTTTCTGGTAAAACACAGTACGTTTTTTGTCACCTTTCTTGCATTTAGTAGCCCAATGCAATATATACTGATACAATTCGGATTGTACCTGTATTATTTTATCTAGAGATGCTAAGTGAGGTTGCTTTCCTTCATTTGCACAGTTTGCCATGTTTTCTTTGCATAATGTGCTTGAAGGAAACGTGCACGCTAGAAGAGAATATGCTTACAGATCCAAGGAGATTATATGCACCTGGGCGTCTCTATCACATTATTGAGCGGAAGCCCTTCAGGTATATTAAAATGTAGTTGCATTACAACTTCTGTGTGTTGATTGTGTTGTTAAATTTTAAATGGCACCTGCATCATATAATAAGTTGATAACTTTTGGGTGAGAAATAGATTGAATTACAGTCGATCATTGGGAGCTTACTGGTTGCAGATTTGGAAGGTTTCCGCCTGTTGTGAAAACAGCAGTGCCTGTGGATGGGAGGTTTGAGCACATAGTTCTTTCTTGCAATATTACTTCTGACCATGCCATAATCTGGATAGAGAGAGAAGCACAAAAGGCTTTTGATGTAAGTCCTTAGACCCTCCATTACAGTTTGAATTTCTGCAAGGTTTCTAAATGATAATCCCACCTAGCTTAATCTTCAAGATCTGAGATTCTACCCTTGTTCTAGTAATGATGTATTATTTTTCCCATGAGGTCAGTTAATGCTCGAGGAAGACAGAACTATGGAAGTTCCGGCAAAGCAGAGGATGGAGCGAAGAAAGTCCCTTGTCCGTGAACATAGCCTGGAGTACAAGGCAGCACTTCGGAGAGCAATAGCTTTGGATATCCATCATGCCTACTCTGATTCAGCGTATGGAACATTTACATTTACTGAAACGGAAGAGGGGGAGAACTCTGGAAGATCGAACAGGGAGCCTTGTGAATCATTAAAAAAGAGGACAGAAAGCTGGGATGACTTTGTGGAGCGGCTTTTCGATGTAGATGAGTCTGGTGACATGGTGTTCAAGAAGTAATAACTTGGCCGATGAAAGCAATTCTTTGATTCTTGTGAACCATCCTCTTTTGGGGTTCATGATTGTGTTTTAGATTGATGGTGGGGAGGGGGCAAGAGAGGCAGCGTATGGAAGTGAAGCTGTACATAAAACGTTGGTCTGCCATGCCATCATCAATTTTTAAAAAATCCCAATGATTATATTATAAGATCTTCCGCTCATGATTTTGTGATCATTGATTCCTGCGCCTTTTTGAACAGATGCTTTGATTCCTGCCAACCATTTTTAATAATTTTCTTATTGCAAATTCAATAGTGTATAAAATTTATGTGAAGAACATTGCTGATCAGAACCAGCAGCCGGCCAGAAACTGCTTACTGGGGAGGCAGCACCCATGCCACGGCAGCGACCACCATAATCTTGAGTAAATCAGTCTGCTTATATACTCAAGGGAACACATTGAAAACCGTAATTTGGTAGAAAAATGCAAGCTCTGCTAGCAATGCTTTCTAAAAGACTACAAGGATTTTACATTTAAATCACTTTTACATATGAATCATGGTCGGTGTTCGACTACAAAAAAGGTTCAATCTCGTTGTTAGCCACTGTCCTATCAACTAGTATAGGTGACTGACTAATACTAATACCTCATCTAGAATAATGGGCACAACATTTTTTGGGGATAAAATGTTCCTTTTTTTCTGAGAAAGAAGAAGATAATACGCTATCTGGACAAACCTCTTCCTTCAACAGCAATTAATAAAACACCATCCGGAGAGACTTCATTCTAGTTGCTATATACTTGGAGGCCAACAGCTTCCCCTGCAGTGAAATTCAAAGCTACAACTCATAACCGTATTCATCAAATGGACAGCAACAATTATGTAAACTAATTCTGATTCTTTTTGTTTATTAATTTTTTTTTATGTTCTCCCAACATTAACAGTTTTTACAATTATGTGAACTGTTTTGATTCTGATTTATTTTTGTTCTCCAATGTGGAACAGGGATATCGTTATTTGCCATTACTAGATCATGAATGCATCAAGCGAAATCATAGAATAATGCATTGCTATGATTTGACCCAAAAAAAGTTCCTTACCGTGCATTCTCTTAATAAATCGTTCAAATTCCATGAAGCTGTGTCTTTCCATGAGAAGTGGACTGAGCCTAAGGTAGGTAAAAGACGACAAATGCCTTCCATCCGGATCAGTCAAGGGTTTGGCACTATCCAATATTTTCTTGTAGCTGACATGATCATGACAAGGAAGAGCATTCTCACTAGAAACTGGTACGCAAACATCCCATGCAGCATTCAGCACCTGAAACAGTATATTATAATTTTAAGTGCCAAAGATTTCCACCACGAACATGCATATTGTTCAATCGAGGGTATTTCTTTCACAATGAGTCCGGGTAATTTCCAAAACAGACAGACTTCTTATATTCAAAGAGTCCCTGTCTGCCGATGAAATGATAACTAAGACAATTGTTGCGTCTAGGATTGGAATCGTGATATTTAGAGTTAACCGCAAGGTTGCAGATAAATTTGATGCTTACTTGCCAGAATAAACCCTCAGAATCTCCCAGTGCCTCTTGGAAGTCTTCATGCTGGTCTAGCATGTGCAATTCAGTGCACGCTAAGTTTAAAGTAGCTTCATGCTTCTTTAGCATTGTCACAATTGCAGCATAACCATCTCGATTGCATGGATTATAGAAGCCTGCAGTCAATTCAGCTGCATGACTGGCTGTCTTGTACCACCAGTGAAGACCTGATAGCTGCTTAACAATTAAAATATCAAACTGACTGATCAATTCATAACTAACCAAATAACTTCTCATTTCCAACCCCAACTCCCAAAAGGGGAAAAAACACTTTCAAAACTTAACGACATTAGGCATGAAGAACATGCATAACATTCTTCATATGTTGATAAGAACTTGAAATTAAAGGTATTCTTCGAATGCGTTGAATGCTTTGTCCGCAATTTCAAGGAAAATAGCATAATTGTCATTTTTTTACTTTAAAATATCAGATATCAAAAATTCATCTTTCATTTATGTTCAAAATGATGGAAGCTAACTCACCTTTGCAGCAATGCAGGTGCCATCGAAAGCTAACTTTGCTAGCGAAAGCACACGATCACCATGATCAACTAAAACTCGAGAGTACCAATTAAGGAAGAACCTGCCATAGTAGCTATCATAATCACCCCCATCGCAAAAGAAACCGGTTTCATGTGGCCGGGAATTATAAGAACCTGCATTATCTGGACCTCTACCCCAGAAGGAGTGTCCCCTTGCTTCTGCTGCCTTCCTCAGACTTTTCAGCAAATACAGATCATAACACTGCACGTTTTTAAATGTTCAGAGTGAAGAATGCAACTTGCAAATGCAGTGCTCCAATTCTGCAGCAATCGACAGACTCATTCACTTGATAAACAGATAATATTTCATAAAGTTACCTGAAATTCACCAATGCCGGGATATCTCCAACCATGCTTTACAGGACAAGATGGGTATCGTAATTCCCCACACGGACCTAGTCCAACTTGAATCATGGAGATATTACCATTTTTAAAGTACTCGTCAAACTCTACACGGAAGCTTCTCATGCAGTCAAAGTACACCTATATTAGTTAAAACATTAGCATTTTGGCGCTGCCTACAAAGGACTATCCTTCAAAACAAGGTTCACTAATATAGAATTACTGCCATCTGTATATGGCAGTAATGAAATTTTCCGCACACAACCAAGTCTATAGATCAATAGATGTACACAGTTGATCACTACCAGGTTCAACACCAAATTCAAGCAGAAAGATTAATGACTGACTTATCATATCTGAATGTAATACCTCGACAGCTGTTCGGCCTCTTAAAACTCGCTCCTTGTCAATTCCCCATGAAAGGCATTCAGGATTACGTCTTCCCTCTCTATCAGTGAAAAATATGTCAGGGTTGCTTCTACCAATTTCAGCCACCCAATGGGGCAGTGGAATACATACATCGTCACCAACATTGCCTCCACATTCATGAAATGACATCACAACCTGAAACAGGGAAGTTGCCCATCAGACCCGGAATAAATTTTCAGAAGAACTAACCAAAGTACCATGTCTAAATGAATAAACTATCTCCACACTTTACAGTAATGGTTAATAGTGAGCGAATCCACAGTACGATAAAGGGGAGTAAGTTCCTTGATTCCCACATTGTACAGACAAAGTCTCAGACGTTTGCCAATAATTACAGGAAAACTATGGAAAAGATACAGATGACCACGAAGATAGCAACTATTAACCACACATGTTTACATGACCACTACGAGCAAAAAGATTCCGCAAGTGAAAAAACATGTCCATATAAAACTGACCTGCAGCTTCAGCTTAAGCTCGCACACCATCTGAAAGAGCCTCTTGTATCCATTCCAGTTATACTCCCCTGGAGCATGTCCTTCTACTATTCCCCACCAGCAATCAACCATAACACCATCAACGTTAACTGATTTCAATATCCTTAGCTGCTTTAGTAGACCATCTGGATCAACCATCTCACACTTCATATTAATGACACCTAGCTGCCACCAAAAGATATGACACGATATAACCCTAAATATCAGAGACTAAAATTTTAAAACAACCATATCTATCAAATAAGTCTTGCACTCCTTGACATGGCAACCTCTAATGCAGGATATTGAGTAGAAAAGCATGGTACTGAAAAACTAGAAAAGAAAAATTATAACTTAGATAGCAAAAGAATAAAGTAAAATTGCACAACTCACAGGTAGCATCACATAAACAGGAATGCATGAGGTGTTGGAGTAATCACGTTCTGGTAACTTCAGGGGTATGTCAACAATCTACAAGAAAGAATTCGAAGTGCATTTAAGGATGTGACACTGCCCAACAAGGAAGCAACAACTTAATATTCAAATAATGATTATTACTAGAAATTTAAATGAGCTATATGAGACAGAATTTCACTATTTATGGGGTACTAGTAAATTCAATGCAGTTATAATCATAAATGAAGAAGGTATACATCCATTATTTGCTGCAGAGTCATGTCTCCATACATTGGTTTAGAGAAACACCTGTCAGTCTCGAACCCAGGACCTGCTGGGTTGTGTATGTAGCACAACTCCAACAGGCTCCAGAGACTAGCCATGCCTCCATGCATCTTCTAATAAAGGCTAGTGTTAAATAGGCTATTTATCGCCTTATATGTGATAGCAAAATCAACCAAGATGATACAAAGAATGACCATATACTAGAATTTGACAACAGCTTACCAAGAGATATAACCATTAAAGTCTAAACAACTTTGTTTTAGGAGATTGAATTTTGAACAACTTAGTCATAAGGAAAATGCTATGTGTACAGAACTTTACATAATTCTTTTACTTTGTAACGTGGCTACTCATATAGATTGCACACAATTCACTCACACTTGTCCCCTGAATGTGTCACACACATATCACCACGCTTGATGGCAAGACACATAATGTGTCACATTATGAAGTAAAAGATTTTTATGATATCGTTTTCTTTTGTAGGTGTGGGTTGTAGCATAGCTCTAGTCATAGTACCTGTTTGTCACCAACATTATCCATGGAACCACCAATAAGAGGATGACTATCTGTTGGACCTCCTCCATCTCCCACAACGGATGAATTTTGAGACCGAGCACTTGAGGGGAGATCATAAGGTGATGAACTAGGAATAAAAACACCTTTCATGTTACAAGCATTAAGTTCCCCAGAGCTCCGATAGCCAGAAGTAACTCCTTTAAGGGAAGCAGGAGTTTGTGGGGACACCATTTGGGAAGATACTGCCGCAGAATTGACACCAGCAGGCCTTGGGCCCTGTAAAAGTGGAATAGAAAGCATTCCCATTCTGAAATTTGTTAGAAATGAGAATCACAATAGGATGCACCAAATGTCCTCCACAGCTATATTAAGGAGGTCAAAACCTAACATGCATTCATGATCCAAGATGAGCCAATACATGAACCACATAAGGAACATTTCAACCATCAAGTATGACACTAAAAATCACCTAAATCACCTAATAGTTCTGAATTTGTTGATGCAGTGGTTCTCTCTCTCTCTCATAAACAAAGCAAAAACTTTCAAAACAGCATAAACAAGCTTCTTCCCTGAGAGACAAGTACCTGAGATTTTGCAGGAAACGTTGTTCCATCTGGAAGAACAACCCAGCCAGCTTCCCTAGCCAAAGCCGCAATTACATCATTGATATCAGCCCTAACTCTAAGATTATAATTTCCATGCCTCCGTAACCCTGCTAAGATCCTTGCAGTGATCGCCCTGCGCTGCCGCTCTCTTAACTTGGTTCTCTCCTTCTCCTCTATCGGTCTACACCTCCTGACTCCTCCCCCTCCTGGGGTCCCCACTTGTTCTTGAATTTGATGGTGCTGCTGAAACCGGTTATTATTACTACTTCTTGTTGGCATTCCTCCATCAACCCCCGCAATCATAGAGGTGGCATCAACATGCTTCTCACCATCTTCTTCATCATCGTCATCGCCCTCTTCTTTCACGTCCATCTCCATTTCTTCGTCCTCATCTTCTTCACTTGTTCCAATTAACTTCTGTATATCCGTAGCCATATTCTCCTTATTTCCTTAATCCTACACTTTTGACCCCCTGATTATCCTAGTTTCTTGATCCTTCTATCATGAATGTAGAAGCCATAACTGCTTAACTTCCCACACAACCACTGGAAGGATTAAATTGTTCCAAACAATGCAGAAATCATCCTACTGATTCTGAGTTCCACGCTAATTTAGAATTTTCTGTCAAAAATTGGAACTTCAAAATTAGCCATATCTCATATTAATTAAAACCAGCATACCGCCCAAGGGAGGGAGTGGGGGAGGGGAACAGAGACAGAGATAGAGCAGTTGGAGGTTCAAATGAACAAGAATAATTCTACTTTAGTTAAAATTACAGAGACAGAAAATACTAAAGTAACTTGGTTACACCTATCTAGCTTAAATGAGTTGACTTCCACGAAAAACCAAAGCAAAATAACAGACAGAAATTATAAGACTTCATTCCTCATTGGTATTACTTTCCACGCACATATGCTCACAAAAGAGAAAGCTCTGAAATTTTCTCGGAAACAACTTTCTCAGTAGCCAAAGGTAGCCAAAAAGCAAAAAAAATTCCAAGTCCTGAGCTAAATTACCTTCTCAAACCAGCTCGGAACACCGACGTCTCGCAAAATCGACTCCACATTGGCCGAAAGGCTCCATTTTTCCCTCGAATTCCACCTTCTCGTCCTCAGTCAAAGCTCACGCCACCATTCATTTCACCGATCCATCTTCTCTTCCATTTCCAGAACTGATTCACCGGGAAATCGTACCCGAGTTTTCCGGCGACCGGAACTGGAGTACGGTGTCGTTTAGGGGGGAGAAGGCGGGGCTCCGACGAGGAAGACTGAGGGGGTCGGCGGGTCGGGTCGGGCGGGACAGGGATTGGAGAAGGAGAAGCGTGCGAGCGAGCGAGCATGCGAGGAAGGGGGCTTAGGGATTGTCACGCGTGTGAGCGTGTGTTGGGGAGTTTGTTTGGCACGAACGAGGCGTGTGTGTATGAACGAGTGATGTGAAAGGCATGCGTTTCACGGGTTGGGCGTGTGGAGTGACACGTATCGCACGTGCCCAGAGCGTGGGCTTGAGAGATCCGGAACACGAGATTTGGGTGTATCCTCTGATGGTGCAATCACGTGAACTGTTTTTTTTGGCGCCGGGTAGTTGTAAAACTGTTGTGAAAGTGAAATGTTGTGTGGAGGTGAACGGTAATGTCACCACGTGGATGAACAATTATGAGTCCGTTTTAAAATTTAAAAAAAAAATTATAAGCGATAGTTTAAATTACAAAATGAAGATGGCGGTCTGTAACTGTAAATCAAAATCTTTTTCCACTAGACTAAACCCCATTAATTAAAAATTAAAATAATTATAATTATTAGTTGTTAATTATAACGTTTTAGATGGACCGTTGTTATTGTCGACATGTTGAGCATGCATTCCACAACGTTAACTGTAACATTGACGGGTATTGTTGTGCATTATGCAACGTTAAATATATCATTTTTGAATAGACGATTGTCAACTGTAGATAATGACGTTCTAAAATAATGATAATTTAGGATAAGGAAAGGAACAAGTTTGTAACCACAGTTTGATCAGTTTAACAAACTTGTAGAATGCTATACATTCATTTTATTCCTTATTATACAGTATTAAACTGCTCTGGACTTAGCAAGGGGCTTTAGCATAAGTAGTTAAGAGTAACATCCATGCACTAGAGGTCCCGTGTGTCCGAATCCCTTTCATTTATTTGACTTAATCTAAAGATCAGGATTCCGGTGCGGCCTCTCCTGCGTTTGCAATTATTTTAGAAGTGAGGCATGGATAAATCATGATTTCAAAACCCTACAGAATGAGATCAGGCCAAAAGCAAAAAATAAAGAAAGAAAAAAAACACTAGACTATGTGTGTTCTGTTACCATGCATTTTCTTGACAAATCGTTCGAACTCCATGAAGTTATGCCCCTCCAAGAGAACAGGGCTTAATCTGAGGTAGGTAAACGCTGATAAATGCCTGCCATCTGGATCATTTTGGGGCTTAGCATTTGCCAATATCTTGTTGTAGCCTTCTCTGTCATGGCATGTAAGAGCATTCTCACTGGCAACTGGAATGTTAGCATCCCATGCAGCATTCAGCACCTGACCACAAAAAGGAATTCCGAAAAAAAAAACATCAAATAAACAAAAATGCTTTACAAACAACATTTCTGTACAGAAGTATACACAAACTGACACAGAAACTTGGTTAAATTTCAAATATAAAAACCAGACCCAAGCAAGAAAGAAATTAAATCTGTGTTAGCTACCTGCCAAACTAATCCCTCAGGGTCTGCCAGTGCTTCTGGAAAGCCCTCATGCTGGTCTAATGTACGCATTTCAACACAAGTGAAATTCAGGGCAGCCTCATGCTTTTTCAACATTGCTGCAATTGGAGCATACCCATCACGGTTGCAGGGGTTGTAAAATCCAGCGGTTAACTCAGCAGGATGGCTGGCAGTCTTGTACCACCAGTGAATACCTGATACCTGCTCATACATCAAATAAAGCAACTCCACGAAAAGAAAACATGTGAAGAACTAATCTCCAAAGAAGTGACTCGCCTTTGCAGCAATGCAAGTGCCTTCGAAAGCTAAATTGGCCAGAGCAAGTACACGATCACCATGATCAACCAAAAAACGGGAGTACCAGTTGAGGAAGAATCTGCCATAGTAGCTATCATAATCACCGCCATCACGGAAAAACCCTGTTTCATGTGGTTGGGAATTATAAGAACCTGTATTATCCGGTGCTCTGGCCCAGAAGGAGTGGCCCCTTGCTTCTGCAGCCTCTTTCAGATTCTTCATCAAGTACCGATCATAACACTGCACTGAACAAGGTCGAATCAGAGAACTATTGCACAGTTTAGATATAAATGATAAATTAAACGTGCTAGGCTTAAAGGTCATAACCAATATGTACAAAGGGCTATTAACATAATCTGTGACTAATTATCATGCATGCCAAGACCTTATCAGTCTCCCAGTAATGGAAAGTGAAAGGTGGAATGGTCACCATTTTAATTTACCTGGAATTCACCAATACCAGGATATTTCCATCCATGATTTTCAGGATAAGAAGGATAGCGTAGCTCCCCACATGGACCTAGTCCAACTTCAATCTCCGAGATTATTCCTCCCTCAAAAAATTCATCAAATTCAACTCTGAAGCTCCTCATGTAGTCGAAGTAAACCTGCATCAGTTTCATTATAAAATAACAAAATAGAAGCTCAGATTTTGAGTTCTGCATCAAGCAGAAAATGTCTTAAAAAGAATGTGGGAAATGATAAGTTAAAATTCCCATAGCATACAAAAGGAAAAGATTTTAGCAATAGTTACTTTTTAAAACATGAGTGAAACCTTTAAAACAAGACATATATAGATAGAGCAACGACATTCTGTTGAAAGAGAAAAAAAGAGCATAATTTAGTAGTTCTAGAATGCTATACCTCAACAGCAGTCCGGCCTCTTAAAACCCGCACCTTATCAATTCCCCATGTGAGACATTCATTGTTGCGTTTCCCCTCTTTATCAGTAAAATATATATCAGGATTTTTTTGACCAATTTCTGTCACCCAGTGAGGAAGTGGGATATGTACATCATCCCCAACATTGCCTCCACATTCATGGAATGACATCACAACCTATAGCAATATAGAGTTAGACAATGGAACCGTATCCGACATTCATCTTCAGAGGAAAACTATGAAGCAGAAAAGCTATACCCTATATAAAATGAGATTTAACAGATAAGCAGTCTCACAAACTATTATACAAAAAGAGAACTACTGATAACTTTGCTTGTCATCAACCCACTCAAGACTATAAAGCTACCTACCAAGGACAGTAACCAACCATTTGCTAATGAAAACTAATCAAAAGGCTAGTTTTAGTACAAATCACCCAAATGAATTATCTGTATAAATCAAAGCTTTTTCAACTGTTCCAGAATAAGTATCTTGACTGAGAGACTGACAAGCGTTGGCTCTAAGAATGTTTCCAAGACAATCTAAAGGAAATAATTTTATTTTTCTAGACCATTGTAATGAATGTATGTTTATAACCTTCAGGATAAGCAGTATGATGAAGTTTAATTTGCTTAATTTAATTTCAAAAAATCATAGGACTACCTATTTAGTAACAAATGGATATCCTGAAGCAACTAAAAGCACATCAAGTCAGAAACATATGTGACACTTCCAGAACAATTTCCTCTGCTATGATGCCAAACAGTATCAGTTCTATAAAACAAACCAAAATTGTGAGATTATTTCAGGTTAACATTTGTGTAAACTGGAAATTTGGAATCTGTACCGGAATTTTATTTAAAGACCCATTAAAGATTTAAGAACTACTGTTTTCATCCTTTAGTGCACTGTAATGACTTCCAAAAGGAAACAAGAAACATAAGAAGCAAAGGCATATTGAAATGCACACCCAAAGTGAAAAAAGAAATGCTGGTACAATTCTATACCACTCACCTGTAACTTGAGGTTAAGATCACGCACAATCTGGAAAAGTCTCTTATAACCACTCCAATTGTATCCCTGCGGATTGTGTGCCTCTACTATTCCCCACCAGCAATCAACCATAACACCATCAACACCAACTGACTTCAGTACTTTTAGTTGATTTAACAGAACTTCTGGCTCAACTAGCTCACAGTTCATATTGATGACACCCAACTGCCACCATGAAACATAAGAACAACTGCATTTAGTCATGACTTGTAATAACATAGTATCATGCAGAAGATTATAAACAAATAAATACAAATTTAAAAGTGATGCTGTGAATGAGGACCATACGATTTTGAACGGGAACCGGATTAAAAGTACATACATGAGTACCATTGTGTTTCTATACAGACACTCTGTATATTTATATTATATAGCAAGATTGTTAATCAAGATTACACATTCAAACATGATTTCACTTAATCAATAATCTCGAATAAACGATTGAAACCCGATAAGAATATATTTGAACGACTGAAACCCAATAAAAATATGGCTTAACTTGTTAATTAGGATCACATATACATATTGTTTCACTTGATTGACGGTTAAAAACTTGAAAATGCACATAAGCAAAAATAACCACAATAAGCCAACACAGAGTATAAAAGAGTGCATCAAAAACTCACTGGTAACATCACATAGACAGGAACATAAGGTGAGCCAGTATTTCCTGGTGAATCTTCAACCTATCAATAAACCAGAAAAACTTCAAAAAGTTTCTAACTTTATATTTGTCACTGCATTTAACCCTATCCCTCTAACTTTCCTCACCTGATTGTCACCAACAGTCTCCATAGCAACACCCCCCTCACTTCTCTCTGCACTTTCCCTCACCACGGAGAAATTCCGAGACCGATCACTCCCCAAAACGCTCAAACGGCACGAATTGAACTCCGCCGAGCCCCAAAAACCGGGAGAGACTTTCAGAGAAGCTATCGGGGTCTGTGTTCCATACGACAACGAAGCCATTGTCGTTGAGCTACAAGCACTGGGCGGCCGTGGCCTCAGGCTATTCAATGCTTGGGCTGACAATTGTGACATTTTTTATTCTCCGTATCTCAGTATCTGCAACACCACTACTTCTCTGTAGGAAATTTTTTAAGGGGACCGAGGAGTCGGTGTGGAAAGTGGATTTTCCTTTTCATTTTCCACAGTTTTCTCCGGAACCAAACAGGTGGAGTGGCGGGGAGAGAACATGTGATGGGTTTATGGATCCAAGATACAGTTATTTCAGCTCTAAGATACTGAGATCACCTTTTTAACGGTAATAATCACCGGTAACGGAAGGAGTGTGACAGACCATTTTCGATCGTACACGTAAACAAATCGTTAAAGATGGTTATTAGATATGGGCTCGGCCCGATTGATCCAGCTCGTCAATGGCGGGCTCAAATAGTTATTTGTGTAATTCTATGCACGCCATGTTATTTATTGTAGACACCCAATGACTTATGACACTCATCATATTCTATTTTTCTCTTT